TTCTCGCTCGGCAATTTCAAGCACTCTTTAACTCTCTTTTCAAAGTTCTTTTCATCCTTCCCTCGCGGTACTTCTTCGCTATCGGTCCCTCGCACATATTTAGCCTTGGATGGGACTTACCACCCAATTGGGGCTGCATTCCCAAGCAACCCGAGTCTTGGGCAACACCTCGTTGCGCAGCAGGGTCTGGCGGTCGACGGGGCTGTCACCCTCTTCGGCGTCCCCTTCCAGGGAACCTCCACACGGCCCGCTGCAGAGGTTGCCTCTCAAGACTACAATTCAGGGAGCAACACAGCCCCCAGGTTTTCAGTCTAGGCTATTCGTGGTTCGCTCGCCGCTACCAAGGGAATCCTGGTTGGTTTTTCTTCCTCCGCTTAGTTAGATGCTTAAATTGGGCGGGTGCTCCTGGCTGACCTGAGATCAAAAGGCAAGGCCCAACGTACCTCCACAGCTCGAGGCCGACACCCCCAACCGCAAGCCCACCTCAAGCTGATGGGAGCGAATGGAAGGCGGCGACAACATAAACCGGAGGGACGACCTTACGTGCCGTTTTCAGGGAAACGAAGACCACCACCCACAAACGGGTGCTGGAGGGCAACAACAGGGCGGAGCGAAACGCACCACTTTGGGCTGCGGCCCCCACAGGCCCGCTCGGAATGCTCTCCAATTCCCTTCCACTTTAGGCTATCGACGCTCTCCAAGTGGGAAGTGAGGGAAGCCCCGACCACGGACCCCACCACTCTTCGAAACGGAAGGTGATGAGGTCGTGAGGAATCCAATGATACTGCGGGCATGCCCTCGACAGAAGCCTCGGGTGCCACGTGTGTTCAAGGTATCGATGGCTCAYGGATTTCTGCAATTCACATTCAGTATCGCATTCCGCTGCGCTCTTTATCATTGCGAGGGCCAAGACATTCGTTTGCCGAGAGTTCTACAATATGGCGTCGTTCCGACAGGACCGAACCCTCGACCAGAACAGAAGGGGGCCGTGAACCCGGACAGCGACAAATCCGAGCAGGTACATAATAAAAAGTTGCAAAGTCGTCGCCACCAGCCGCTGCCACAGGCCCACCCGACCCCCCGTTCGGGGGGCCAGGCAGGGCACCGGGGAGCAGCGGGGCAACGAGGGTGCAAGCGCTGTCTCCTCCCCCC